CAGTGCAAAATCAGCAAGCCGGTCGAGAACAAAAATAACATGCTCTCCAAAGCCAGCTTTTAACTTGCTTGGTGGGAAATCAACAGTAACACCCTAAACATAAAGACTGTATAAGACCTTTGAATTGAATATGTTAGATATTCATGGAATCATATTGCTTTATTAGAAAAAATATTGATCATTCAGTTAATCTCCATGTCAGCATATATCAGTACAGAACTATTCAACAAATGAGACTTTTGAGCAGAATAATAGATCTGTATTGTATGACAGAGACACAAGCATGCTATATCATTTAAAAAATATGAGTAACTTTCACACCAATTGTCTGAGATGGTCAAGAATGCTTGACACTGTAGAGTTGGGATCATCATACTCCTGAGGTGGTTCCATGCTTCTCCCAGTCTTCCGTATCAACCAGGCACTGAGTGACGTAAAAAGGTAGAACTGCTCACCAGGATTTGTTGCAATGGCAAAATAATGTCTGTAAAAAGAACAAATCTTCAGGTTACTGATATTTATTGTAAGTTTTCATTATCTAAAATGTTTATCTATCTAAAATGTTTAATTACTTATAGCTATCCTTCACACTTAGCTGATTAGCATACCTGTTAACTGGCTTCATACGATGTTCTTGTAAAAATTCTTTGTCATAATTTAGAAGCTTGAGCTTATCAAGCAGATCGTCCATGACCACAAAAGGCATATATGCAAGTCCTGGGCCACCATCCAGCTCCTCTGTTTCCTCTTCAGGTCCTCGACGAGCACTCATTATTGTTTCTGAGGAGGTGTAACTATTAATCTGGGCAAATGTATAGAAAACACTGTATGTTGTGTTGCTCTGAAAAAGGCTAGCAAACCTCCATCATGTATGTATTATGGCAAAACAGAATTTGTAGATCTCCCTAGTAAATTATTGTCAAATAAAGAAACTAGTCCAACAGACAATATTGTTAGTTTTTATTTAAAATTATGACATAGAATAAATATTTTACAGTTAGAATATACTAATTACATTATTTCTAATAAAGATTCCCTTATCTTATATCCATAAGTTCATATTTAATGTCCTACAGTTATGAAAAGTCCAGATTTAATATTTGGGACATTTTCTTCATCAGTTAATGTATCAGTATGTGCAAACAGTTCATCACAGTTATATCTTATAAACTACATTGATTCTGGGTCTTGAAAGTGCTGCTGAAGATTTATAATGAGAATATTACAAAAAAAAAAAAAAAAATTCTCTTAGAACCTTTAGTAACCTTTATGTATGTAATATATCATCAACTTACTGGTTTGAGTCTGCTTGGTGTATTAAATGTGACAGTTATATTCAGAAACTACTTTCTTCTTCTTCTTTTATAGGGTTTTAGGCATCTTATGCCTATATTCCCAGGATCTTGTTTCTTTGAATCTCCTTTCTGTTGTCTGAAGGTTTTAAAAACTACTACTACTTCTTCTTTTTCTTCTCCTTCTTTTGTAAAGTTTTACACTTCTTATGGCTATATTCCCTGGATCTTGTTTCCTTGAATCTCCTTTCTGTTGTCTGAAGGTTTTAAAATCTCCTTCACGGCCGCGGTGTTTTCCGGGAGTTCTTTGCGCAGGAATGTGTTTACATTTGGTTGCCATGGAGACGCGTCAAGCGATCAGCTGATTTTGCGTCGGGGGAAAGGTACTTATCAAAGTGCTAAGGGAAGAAACATCATATCAGTAGTACTTTGAATATCACAAACTATTTGCAGAGTTGATGTATTTACATTCTGCCCAAAGGCTATAAGAGGTTAGTAAGGAATAGAGAATGTATAATCCATTGTCAACAGATTAAGCCGAAGTATGTGCGACAGGCCTATTGACCCATCCAGGTGACATGCGAAGCAGGTATCATCGAAAGTCATAGCTTCAGAAACTCCACTGGTAAGTCCACACAATCGGAGTTACAGCAAATTCCACCCGTGATATGTAACTATACTACCTACCCACCTATCTACTTACATATCTGTGTATGTATCTACCCATCTTTCTATTTACCTACCGATCCACCTGTTTACCCACTTACCTACCCCCCTACCTTTAATTTAACTTAGATTTACCAACCTACCGACCCAAGTACCTACATACCCACATATCTATCTACCCATCTACCTTTCTACATACCTACTTACCTACCCCCCCTACCTACCTACCTACCTTACCTTACCTTACCTTACCTTACCTTACCTTACCTTACCTTACCTTACCTTACCTTACCTTACCTTACCTTACCTACATACCTACCTACCTACCTACCTACCTACCTACCTTACCTACCCCCCCCTATGTACCTACCTACCTACCTTACCTACCTACCTACCTACCTACCTACCTACCTACCTACCTTCCTACCTCCCTTCCTTCCTACCTACCTACCTACCTTCCTTCCTTCCTTCCTTCCTTCCTTCCTACCTACCTACCTTCCTACCTACTTACCTACCTACCTACCTACCTACCTACCTACCTACCTACCATCTACCTACCTACTTACCTACCTACCTATCCACCTACCAAACTACCTACATTCTCATGCATGTAATTATTAAATATTTCTTGCTTTCTTTCTAGGTTCACTATAAAAGGAGACATGGAGGCTGCCTTGGAGAAAGCCCTGGCAAATCCAGGCTTGGGTGTGCTCCTGCTGGATGAAACAAATCGCGGCCTTGCGGAGGATGTGGAGAAACTGCGTCAAGAAGTTTCTCGTAATGAAGATACTTGGAAATTAGAAAATGACACCAAGCGCAGAAATGCCGAGTACTTGTCAGACATGACACAAATGTTAGATAACATTCAGGTAATGCTATGGATTATGAAGACTGAAGATAAATTATATATATATGTCTGTGTGTGTGTGTGTGTGTGTGTGTGTGTGTGTGTGTGTGTGTGTGTGTGTGTGTGTGTACATGTGTATGCATATAATTGAATCTCTTACAATAGGATATCCAAGGGGATATGCCACATTTGTGAACATATTTTCAATGTTCAACAGATTACCAATAATTTGTGCAAGTAAATGGTAAGATACAAAAATAAAGAACTCAGTCATGTGAAATATGAGAGTACCATATAAAGTACAAATCTTTGTAAGAGCTCTAGGAGTCTAGCCAATTTTCCTAAGATCCAGGTTATATAATGGATCTCTAATGAATCTTCCACTTGATATATAAGTCTTCTTGATGTCTATATTTTATATCTTTAAAGCCATCATTATTTCAGAAATTAGTTTCTGCTCACCAAAAAGATGTCGAGTCTGAAAGTAAGCAAGAAAAAGCAGCAAGCAGTGAAGCAGATGGAATTTTACGTCAGTGTCGAAAAAAGCACGGAGAAATATCTCACGTTCAGGAAGCATCGGAATATCTAGAATCCCTCATCAATCAGCATCAAAGAGAACTTGAAGATCTGCAAAAGAATCTGACTGGGGATTCCAGTCTTTTGAAAGAATTATTGGATCATTTAGCTGAAGCAGATAATGACAACCTTCTCCTTTTGCAATATTCTGCAGAAGATGCTTCCAAGATTAAGGTAACTCATAGTTTCCAGACATTATGAATCTTTAAAAAATTGTTATATTTGTCATACAGTTATTTTAAATACATTTCATAATGTACCAATTATCTCTGATCTCATTCAGGACCTAAGTGTTGCCCTTGAACGTGCAAGTGCTGAAGTAGCAGTAACAGAAACTGAGCTCTCCAGTGCACAGGCAGAAGCAGCAGCGTCTCAGACAACACTGGACCAGCTTAGTACAGCATTTCTACAGGCGGCAGCTCATCGTGACCATCTACTTGCACAGTGGGAGATCACTCTAAATCACATTTATCAGAAAGCTAATGAACAGACACTGTGCATTGAGGTATCTTATACAGTATCTTGTACATTATGGAAACTTTATCTTACAATACACGTAATCAGATTACACAATCTGCATTGCTTATTTAACTGATTGCAATAAGTTTTATATATACTTTTGTTTCATTTGTTATTTTATGCTAAAAGTAAATATGCAATTTAAATGATATAAAATTCTGTGATAAATCTTATTTCTTAATTCAGTTAATTTATTTTTCTTAGGATGCACTAGCAGCACAGCAGAAAATTGGGATCTTACAAAGGGAAGTTGAGCAAGAAAATCAGATTTTAAGACAAGTACAAAATTCGTGTCAGCAAGTCTTAAGTAACATCCAGGTTGCAGATGATGAAAGTGTATTGGTTAATACACACCTGCAAGCAGTGTCCACTACAAAAGAACAAATCCAGTCTCAGGTTAAGTGAAATTATGATTTATTTTTTTGTGTGTGTACAGTTCAAAATGTTCCTTTTTATTTTCCATAGGCTGATAGAATTGTAAATGTAAAAAAAAATAAAGTAGAAGACTGACATATTTGAAACCAGTCTTCATGAATTTCAGATGAAAGGATTTTATATTATAAAGCTTTTCTAAATTAATCATCATTGTATATTTGAGTAATTTTTTTATTAGATTTTTCCTTCAACAGATTTGGGCTTTGCAAAATGCACTTATAAAAGTGAATAAAGAAATAGAAAGCCTAAATATTCAGTTGTCTGAACAAAGGTCATTTCGTGAGGAGAAAGAAGCTTTTTATGAAAGCATGGAGCAAAAGTGCAAGAAATCGGAGGAAAAGCTGACTGTCAATACTGAGCTTGTAATTTCAGTTGAAGAATCACTTCAGTCTTTGGAAGCCATGTTGAAGGTAAGAAAATGAATGGTTTCTGGTATGTTGTAAATATAGTAATAATTGTAATGATCGTATCTTATATTTTCTTTACAAAATATATTATAACCATGATATATGTTATTGATAATGGTAATTCTAGAACCTGAATTTCTCTTGCATATAAGAAAACCAAACTTTTGCCAGTTTCATTGAGATAACTGGCTATTCTAGCCTATAAAACTGTCTTCTGAATTGATTTATAGGTATATATAAAAAGACATTCTGAGGATCAGATACTTGCCGGAGAAAATTAGATATTTCTGTTGTCCTGACTTATATTATAGGATGCTGAAGCACTAGCAAGAGGATTGAATAAGCAGAAAGAGAGGATAGTGGAGGCTGAGCAACACCATGAAAAAGCTGTGGCTGAGTGGCACAGGCAAGAACTATTACTGAAAGGAGAAATCACGGCCTTATCTGCAACTAAAGCTCGTAACTTGGTATATATCAAGGAGCTTGACACTAAAGCTGTAAAGCAAAAGGAGGTTTTGCATGACCAGGTTAGTATGCAGGAATGTACAGTGAAGTAAACACTTCAATTTTGCTCTCATTCTGACTCTCACTCAGTCACTCATTCTGTCATTCTGTCTCTCTCTCTCTCTCTCTCTCTCTCTCTCTCTCTCTCTCTCTCTCTCTCTCTCTCTCTCTCTCTCTCTCTCTCTCTCTCTCTCTCTCTCTCTCTCTCTCTTTCTCTCTCTCTGACTCTCTCTCTCTCTCTCTGACTCTCTGACTCTCTGACTCTCTGACTCTCTGTCTCTCTGTCTCTCCGACTCTCTTACTCACTCACTCACTCACTCTCTCTCTCTCTCTCTCTCTCTCTCTCTCTCTCTCTCTCTCTCTCTCTCTCCTCTCTCTCTCTCTCTCTCTCTCTCACTCTCTCTCACTCTCTCTCTCTCTCTCTCTCTCTCTCTCTCTCTCTCTCTCTCTCTCTCTCTCTCTCTCTCTCTCTCTCTCTCTCCCTCTCCCTCTCCCTCTCCCTCTCCCTCTCCCTCCCTCCCTCCCTCCCTCCCTCCCTCCCTCCCTCCCTCCCTCCCTCCCTCCCTCCCTCCCTCCCTTCCCACTCTCTCACTCTCTCACTCTCTCACTCTCTCTCTCTCTCTCTCTCTCTCTCTCTCTCTCTCTCTCTCTCTCTCTCTCTCCTCTCTCTCTCTCTCTCTCTCTCTCTCTCTCCCTCCCTCCCTCCCTCCCTCCCTCCCTCCCTCCCTCCCTCCCTCCCTCCCTCCCTCCCACTCAAGCACACTATGCAGAATATCTCTTGGCATATATTAACCTTTATTCAAAGTTTAAGGAATTCATCTGTCCATAATTTTTATTTCAGGAACTCAGTGTTCAGCAGCTCCGACGTAGAATCCACGATCTTACTCATGATAGAAACAACAATGCAGTGGATTCGGAAGAACAAAAGCAACTGGAACTCCTGCAGCTTCGCCTTAAAGAAATATCTGTCACAATAAAGATGCTTACTAAACAGTTGACACTTCTAAAGGTAAGTTGATTAATCTTCGTCCTCTTCTATTTTTGCTTAATGATTTGAAAAATTGTAAATGCTTGTTGCAATAATTGAGAAATCATATTATGTTATTCCCTGAGTAACTTACTGAATGGAAATGAGCTTGTTCTGATGTGTTACATGTCTCTTATTTCTCCTCTATGGTTAGTTTCTCTACATTATAGTTATGGTATTTATTATATCATATCCCGACCATGGCGTCCTTTTCAGAATTCTAGATCCCAGGAGCAGACTAATGTGATTCAACTACAGAAACAAAGTGTTAAGATGGAGGCAGAACTAACAACTGTAAAAATGACTAGTGAAAGTGCAGAAAGGTGAGGCCTATTGGTGCATACTGAAGTGAGCCAGGGGCTGGTGTGTAGAATCTTTGACTCTTTAATGAAGCAAAATCAAATACTCATTAGGCCTTGTTCTCAATTGAATGAAAAATTTCCCTTATCGGTTGTTTGAGTGTTGAAAATAACATAACACCTAAATGCAGCAACATTATTTTTCAGAGAATGTGCCAGACTGTCCAGCAAAACAGAAGAACTTATGGTTGATGTCAGCCTTTCACAGCTACACTTGCAGCGACGGATGGCACAGCTTCAAGGAGTTATGGCTAAAGTGTCACAGTTGGCAGAGGATAAGTCTGATATGGAAAAGGTAGTGTGCTTAGTCTTTTCTTCTTTTTTTAGTCTTTTCTTTTTTAATAATGTGCATTATTTCATTATGTTAATGATTCATTATGGGTACTAGACTCTTCTAAGACTTATGAGTGTATAAACAATGCTCTGTAGTTTCATTTCCACATGTCAGTTAGATGCTGAAAATTGAATTCAAGTTTTACTAATTTGTGTTTATTTTTCAGTTAATCACAGAACAGATCAGAGTTGTGAAAGAACGAGTTGACAAAGCTGATGTCACTCTGAGGGCCTTGAACAGTGAGATGCATCGACTCTTCCTTCAATTGCATGAAGTTACTTCAAGGATTGTTCAGCTTAAGGACAAGTAAGTACTAATCTATGTAAAAATATTGAACACTCTTTTTTGTCAGAATCTTTGCTTTAAATATTGAATTAAACAGGTAATGCTGCAGTACACTGTACAAAAGCTTACCTAGATTTTTTCGTCGCTGTCAGGTTAATATAACATGGTTATGAATTCATTGGCAAATGAAAACAATACAGGATATTTTAAGTGTTTAAACTTAAGACATGTAAGAAAATAAAAGTTAAGCACTGCTTTTTGTTTAAGATTAGGAGTACAACTATTTGAAAGTATGAACAGCATTGTTTGATTATAGTTTATTGTAACTGACTGTAGTTGCTCTTTCACACTGGAAGTAATAGGGAAACTATTAATAAAAAGAAACAGCCATTAACAGTGATCTAATTTGTTGTTTCAGACATTCTAAAATCAAGATGAGTCTTGATACACCAGAAGGTGAAGAAGGGGTTTCTACAACACAAGTCTTCTTAAAGGTAACATTGTTGAAAAACTTTTGGTAAAAACTGTAGATTCTTTTTTTAGAAGACTGCATATAAAGATAGAATATTGTTTTATGGGCTTGTAATTTTACTTTAATTTATCAGCTGTTGTTTTCCATTTTGTGTCTTATCCTTATCAATGCTAAGGCAAAGTTCAAGAGAAAAAGTGTTTTTCTTTTGTTTTTTTCATTTATCTCTATAAGAATATATTTTATCACTTATATCTCAATTTGGCACCTATTAGTTTTATTTTGCCCATTTAAGCAGTGCTATGGTCAACGCCAGACTTTGGGCTAGATGTTTGTAACAACTATTTGATTTATGTAAAATAGTGTACCACTACTTGTAAAATGTATTTTCTGTGTAGATCTTGCCTTGTGTCCATTAAGGGAGTGTAATAAAAATATAAAGCAATCTTCCATACGCTTCCAGTTTTGCCCACTTTATATTTACCTTGGCTCCCCACTTTATGAAAATAAGAACATTAGTGCATGTTTTAATAATGTAGATTTTGAGGAAACAGTACTTAAACATAGCACAGTAGATTGATTAGTAAAGCTGATATAATGTCCAGACTGCTTGTATGTATGATTTTTCAATATTAGAGTGAGAGTACATAAAACATAGCATACTAGATCACTTAGTAGATGGATGTAAGGTCCAGGTTTTGTGTCTGCTTGCCTTTTTTATTTATTTTTTGTTTTGTTTTATTTCTTTTTTTTAGAAATTGTCACCATATTACAGCTTTATGGTGATTCACCTCTGCATATATAAATAATCAGCTTAGCTCTCCTTCACTTCTGGTTAATCATGACTGCATTTTCTCCAATGGAATCTGAAAGTGAGTGAATTATCAATCGTTGAAATATTATTATATTATCATATTATTTTATCTATTTTGATGTTTTAAACTAGATTTTTTTTTATCAACCTCACAATGCTTTATGAAATATCTAATGATAAAAAAGTTTGCTATTATTGAAAACACTCAAATGGGGAGATGAACTGAATTTCTTTTTATTTGATTGAAAAATGTGGTTTGTTTATGTTTAGAGTAAATAAATGAACAGATAAATTAAATTTATAGATAAATTCATTAAGAATATATGATATATATGTATGCATACACATATATTTATCTACATATACATATAGAAATATAAATGAAAACACTCAACTTTTGTAAATGCTCAGTTTTGAGTAGAAGCACAGGAAATAAAACAAGTTTCTGTGGCAGGTGGCCAATGAGCGTGCTGGTCTGCAAGAGACTGGTGACCTTCTTGACCTTGAGGTGAGACGTGCAGAGGAGGAGGTTGAGGCTCTACAGCAGATGCTAACTTTGATTAGTATAGAGGGTCAGCAGTACCGTTCACAGCTTCATGACATCCTCCATCACAGTAAGTACAGTACATTTACAGAGAGTGGGAAGAACTAGGCTATACTTCATATATTTTTTGATGGATGATTACATACCATACATTCTGTTATCTGGAATTAATATCCTTATGATTTTTTTTTTTTGCCCATTATATACTAAGCTATGTGCCAGGTACCACAATATAGTCAGATACTGGAGCAAAAAATTAAAAGCACAGGAAAAATGCTGTCTACAATTTTGGTTGCAGCATATACTGTCTTTCAAAAGAGATTTAAAGACTACTTTGGGGCTGTACCTCCTCAGTGACCACAGTCAAGGTCCAAACAAGTGAACATCTATTTATATGAGTAAAAATTTTCAGGCGAGGAGCAGAAAGAAAGGATTATGCTGGAGGAGAACTTAGCATCTTTAGAAGAGGAGATCCAGGTGTGGGAGACAATGTTAGATCAAGCACAAGTAGGATTGCAGGTATGTAGAAATTCATGTTTAACACAATTCTTGGTTATTTTGAGAGTTGTACTTTCCCATCTGTTATTCAGTATGACATCAATGTTGACTTCAGTTAAAAAGTGATTTAATAAGCAGAATTAAAATACTGTCATTGTGATTCTTTAAAGATACTGACTTCACCAGGACTGTATTATGTAACTTTCTTTAGAAGAAAGTGATTCATAGTTATGGATACCAATTTAAACATTTTGTTAAGAAACTGCATTTTCAGTAATGTTTAGCCTGTTTAGTGAAAATGATATAAAAAAAAATCCCAGATATCCATTATAAATGTAATATATTCAGAAAACTAACTTATTAGAAATGAAAGACATCTCTGTGGAATTAGAAAAAAAAGTACTAAGACCAAAAAGGGAAAAGT